GGAGGAAGTGGCCCCTCAGAGGCCACCCATCCCTCCCGGAGTCTAGGACCTTTTCCTGCCCCACGTGGGCGCCTCGGTCCTGCCCCCATTCTGCCAGCCCCGGCCAGACCCAGACTTCCTGCCCCAGCAGCGTGGAGCGGCAGGGATGTCTCGGCCTCCCCCTGCCCCATAGGCACAGTCCAAACTCGCCAGACCGGGGAGCTCAAAAGCCTCTACCTGGGACCCCAGATCCCTGCCCACAGACCCCCGCCTTCAGACACCCCCACTCTGGCATCACCTGCTGCCCCAGAGCCCATCTCAGTGGGGGAAGGTGACCCCAGGCTGATGGCTGCATCACAGCGTCACCCTGGGATGGCAGAGGCAGGCCCACCCCACATCTGCAGGGTCTTAGGTAGAAGTCACAGCCCTGTCCCAGACAGCCTTGTCTCCAGAGAAAATCCCTCCCTAGCCCAGCCCTTCCCTTCCGCCAGGCCCCTCACCCACCAGGTCTTCACACCCCATTCAGTGGGGTTTCCTGCCTCTGCTGACCCCAGATCAGGCCTGGCCATCCCCCTCCACCCTCTGCCCCAGGAAACAAGCAGCTGAGGGACTTGGGGGCCGGGTTGGAGAAGCTGAGGGCAGGGCTGGGGGCTCTGCGGGGAAGTGCAGGGCCCGGCCCAGCTTGCTCTGAGGTTCAGGAAGTGGGGGTCTTGGAAGCTTCCTCTCAGCCAGACGTGCGTGCTCTCCGTGGGGCTGAGCGGCTGGAGGGTCAGAGGCCTGGTCGCAGCTGCCCCTTCCTCTCCAGCCGGTCACCAGCTGGGTGGGCTATACCACCACAGGCCTCAGGCTGGGTGGGTAGCAGGGTGTCCCTCGGGCCCACAGGTGGCCGGCAGTAAAGGCCAGAAGGTCTGGGAGCCTGCCCAGGCTGGGGGCATGTCAGCCATGGCCTCCCTGGGGGCTGTGGGTACAGCCCTCCCTGACCGGCAGGGTTTGCCATCAGACGGGTGGGGGGGGGCTCAGGAGTGTCCAGCCCCACGAGCTGGCCTGTCATCAAGCCTCAGCCCCCTGCTCTGCCTGCCCCCTGCACCCTGAGCCTTTCTCCCTGACCAGGTGCCCTCCGCTCAGCCCCTGCTGGGGCACCGGGCTGTGGAGCCCTCCTGGGCTCATGCACACACTCAGGTGCCGGGAAAGGCTTCAGCGGACCTGCCTGACCAGGTCCAGACACAGGCCGAGGAGGGGATTCTTGCCATCTGGCGACAGGTAGGGATCTGGGAGGGTACATGGAGGATCCCATGTCAGGTACATGGTCATGTTGGCTTATCCCCCACCCATGATGGGGGCCCAGACCACACACAGATGGGAAAACTGAGGCTTGGGAGCACTGACTTGCCCAGGTCTTGGTCCGCCTGGGTCTCTGGCCGGGGAGGGTCTCAGGTTGGGACAAGGCCAGCACCATGGCTCATGAGTGTGTGTCTGTGCCTGTGTCCAAGGCCTCAACTGGGCCCCCCGCCCCTGGCCCACACATGATGGGCGGTCGTCCGTCAGCACGGCCAGCCCTTCTGGCCATCCATCACCAGCCAGTGGCCACAGGAGGAATGGCCTGTTTGTTTTGCCAGCTCCGTGTCGCTCCCTGGGGCAGGGGCGGGAGGAAATGACCATTCTTTGCCTGGGCGGGCGGATGGACAGGAGAGGTGTGCAGGGCACCAAGGGCAGGGCCAGGCTGGGATGTGACAGGACCCCAGCTGGGCAAGGCCCCTCAGAGATGCCCGAGGCCTTGCCCTGCTCTGTGCCCCAGTCTCCTCTCTGGCATCAGCGTGAGTCGAATTGGCATTTTCCCACAGCAGCTGTCTCCAGCCAGGTCATTCACCTCTGCCCTTGCCACGGGGTGGGGTGGGCTCAGGTATCAGCTGCCACCAGGTGGGAGGTCCCCTTGTCAGAAATCTAAGATGCTTGATGCTGGCTGTCCACAGCGGCTGTGGGCAGTTACCCTGGGGGTGTGTCCAGGCCATAAACTAACTAACTGCTGAGGAGGAGAGGGCTGTCAGGAGGTCTAGAAGGGCCTGGGCATCTATTTGAAGACGGCCAACCTCAAAATAAGAACCGGGGGCACTTGGGGCCACATTAAGAAAGACAGCGCGTGTAGAATGGAGGAGGTGACATGCCATACCAAGAGAGCGGTGTCCAGACCCCAGGGCAATGTCCTCAGCATCTACACAATGACCACTGCCACTTCATGAAGCCCATAGTTAACAGGTATAATTTACTGACACGGTGCCCAGGGCCCGGCGATCATGATCACTTCTCACGGCAAAACGCCCGAGGCTCCCGTGGGCTGAACTGGGACGTGTCTGTCACTGCTGCAGCCGTGGACCTCTGCCCTGACCCCTGATCCACAACACACTCCTCGCTGCCCCCAGCCCTGAGCCACCAAGGGGGCCCTGGCTCCCTCCTGGGCCTGCAGACAAGGAAAGTAAGCCCCAAAGTCCAAAGCTTCCAGGCCATGGGGCCTTAGGCCCCTGCTCCCGGGCAGACGCCGCAGAGAACACTCATGCTGAGTGCAGAAGGGCCTCCTCCCCAGGAAGGGAAGCCAGATCCAACGCTGGAGTCAGGAAAATGCCCTTCAGATCAGTGCCTGTGGCTCAGGGCCCTCTCTGGCCTCTGCCATCCCCAGCGCCCTCCCTGCCCCGTGGCCACCCCCTTTGCTTACCTCCCAGGCAGCCCTGACTATTGCACAGCTTTTCTTCTGGGAGCAACAGTGCCCTTCCAGAACCTTCTGCCCTTAGAGCCGGGCTGCTTCCTCTGCACGGGGACAGCTCTGCAGACATCTGAAAGGTACTGACCCACTCTGCCTTCTCAGACAGAAAGGCACTCTCCCTGAAGTAAGACTCTGGTTGGTTTCAGCTGACGTTAGGAACGGATCAGCCAAAATTCCCTCTAAGGTGAGAGTTACGAATGGTCATTCTGCCTCGAGTGTCTGTAGGAGGGAGGGGTGCGCTCGGGGGAACAGTGACATCTGAAGCCACGAGAGGGGACTGTCTGGGTGTAAGTTGAAGGGGCTCTGGGAGGGCTGACTCTCGGGGTGCCAGCTTGGGTCCAGCTCATGAGGGCCAGCTTAGCCCCACTGCTGTGCCACCTCCTAGCGGACCTTCGGGGCCACTCACCCACATGGCTTGGTCCACATGGCTTACCCCCACAGGCTCAAGGAACAGGCAGAAACAGCCAAGCAGAGCAGAGGGCCCGGCAGGTCCCGGGGTGCAGTCCTGAGATGGATTTAGTTATTGGTGGGGGCAGAACCATGGCACAGAGCCAGGAAGGAGGGGACACACGGCCAGGGCCCCGATGGGAGCCTGGACCCAGGTAGGCAGGCGATTCAGAGAGGGGCCTGCATGGAGCTGGAAGGAGAGCCACACTGGCTTTGTCAGGGGGCTGCCTCCGTTTCTCCAGTGGGCACCTCGGCACTCACATCGGCCTCTGGTCCTGGCCATTCCCAGCGAGGCCCGAGACAGCCAGGCGCCGGCCCACAGCCTGGCCCACATGGGGCAGCCCCGAGTGCATTCAGTCCTGGCCCACACCCTGGCGGGAGGGGCTGAGTTGGCTTTGGGGCACCAGGGAAAGCTCGAATCCATCTGTCTGTCTGCCCCCCACAGCTGATGCCAAGTATCCACTAAGCAGGATGGGGCAGCTGGTACCTCCATGCTGCCCATGCCTCCTCCTGTCCCAGATGCCTGGCAGCCAAGGATACCTTCACCCACCCGGTCTTGGCCTCAGTTTCCCCATCTCTGAGAGGCCCCTTGGTGGGTAGAGGAAAAGACCAAGGCATGGTGGGGGTGGGAAGATTCAGCCGGACCCTTCCCTCTGTCCTTCTGGTCTCAGTGTCCGGCTCTGGTGGGAAGCTGGGGGTCCAGACCTGGCCAGGGGCCCCTCCCTCCTCCTCCCTCCTCCTCCCGGCACCCCACTGGCATTACCTCAGAGCCAGGGATAGCTTGGTGGGTGAGTGAGAACCCAAGAGGGGGTCTGCAATAGAGGAAAACTGACCCAGTCCCTGTCTCACCCGGTCACTGATGGCTACTTAGACAGCAGGAAGGGCCAGGCCACCCCTACACACACAGATGCAGGCCAGACCCTCTCAGCCATGAAGGCAGAAGAGGCCCAGGGGGAGGGGTGGGTAGGAGAACCGGCTCCGAGTCTCGGCCCAGGGACCCATCCAGGGGCTGACCAGAGAGCGGGCCCAGCGGCAGGGGCTCCGCGGGGGCCTCAGGGCTGTCAGGCCGTCCCCTCCCGGCAGCTGTCTCAAGCTCCCACCTCCCCCACCCGCCCCCAGGACTCCTATTTCACTGAGGAGATTAAGACCACCTGGCGAGAGCCCCCTCTGGGCCCTCCCTCACCCCAGCCCTCCCTCCGAGCCCTGTGGGCCCCTAGAGGTGCTCTCCTGCCTCGTGCCTCTCCACCCCACGTTCCCACACGGCCTCCACGGCCCTGCCCCTGAACCTACACAACATCACCACCTGCTCAGATGGCCGCCTGGTCCTCACCGCCCTGCTCCCCCGGCCCTGCCTGCCGCAGCTCTGTCACCAGCCGCTGTCCCCACAGTGGGTCCCTGGTCACATCCCGCCCTTCCCCTCCAGGCCCAGCAGTTGTCTGGGCAGAAGAAGGAACTGGGGCAGCCCGGTGCTCCAGGGACAGTGTCCTGAGGGCTCAGTCGTGGGCCCTGTCCAGCCTGCTGTGGGCAGTCAGCAAGCAGGGCCTGTTGCCGCTCAGACAGACCGAGGAATCTGAGCTCTGAAAACCACAACTCTGAGCTCGCCTATTTGTTTGCTTTTGAGAAATTCCAACCTGGTTCAGCAGAGCCTCAGAGAAGGGAAGGGATTTGTCTGGCTGGAGTGGGGTGGGGCCGTGCTCATGGACGTGGGGAAGCAAGGCTGAGTGTGGGACCTGGGCTGGGTGGGGAAGTCGGGCAGAGCATGCGTGCCTGCCTGGGCTTTCTGGGGGCACAGCCAGGAACCCTCCTCCCTAAACCCCAGGCCAGGCCTGGAGGCCACAGAGGCAACAGCTGCCCACCATCGTCCTGGGGGACCAGCTAGATGAGGGGGTGGCCCAAGGAGGCGTGCGCAACAGCAATGGTAACATCAGCTAAGTAGCCATACTCAGAAGCCAACAGGAGCTCATTTGATCCACACTGTGGGGCCTCTAGCATCCTCCCCATTTCTTAGACAAAAACACCGAGTCTTGGAGAGGCCGAGCTGTGTCCTTGGACACACAGCATTGCAGGGTGAGGCTCGCGCCTGGCCCCGGCTCCTGATGCCTGGGCCACACTACCAGCTTGGGTTCTGCCCTGCTCGGAAGGGCCAACAGGACAAGGAGACCTGCCAGAAAGAGTCACATTCTCCTCTGAAAGGTTGTCCCCGCCTTCTTCCCAGCCGCCCCTTCCCCAGGAAAGCAGGAGGCCAGGCAGGGCTGGAAGGCCTGTTGGGGATGGAAGTCCCTCGGGGAGGTCTTGCTCCCTCCACTGGTCTCCCCAGGCCTCAGTCTCCCATCTGTCCTTGGGGTACTGGCCCTCAGTGGAGGCCCCCCCCCAATTCTGGAACCTTGCTCATCAGGCCATCCTGCCTTCACACTGACTGTTCCATGTTGGACAATGTCCCTCAGGCTGAACAGTTTTCCTGCCTTCTGCCTGCAGCCCAGATCAGCAGGCAGAGGGGCATTGAAGGTGAGTCTGCTGAGGGCCGTGGGCACGGAGACTCTGGGTGCCAGGCCACATCACCGGGGTGTGGTCTAGGGGTGACCATCCTGCAGCCCTGGGGGCTCTGCCAGGAAGCAGAGTGGATGGCGAAGGGCGCAGCCACAGAGCCAACCCTCTACTGCCCTGGGGCCAGATTCCCACCCAGTTTCTCCAAATAGTCACACTCGGCCATCACAGTGAATATGAGGGCAACTTCAATCTATTTGCTAAACTCATCAAGCATTTAATGAAAATTCCAAGACAGATACAGTATTCTGTTATCTTATTATATGTGCAGCCGAAGCGAGCACAGATATATTCTGTTATCTTAAATGTACTAAGTATCTTTAAGGGGAGACACAATAGATCCAATGATTCCAGGAGAACACGCTCTCTAGGACCTGTTAACAAAGGTGCTGATGTCACTGGCTTAGCAGTCATTCTTCATCACCTCTGGCCCTGACCCCAGATTCTTACTTCTCAGAGCTTCCCAGGGCTCATCTTACCCACCCAGCCCGATCTAAGCATGGAGTGACCTTCCAGGTGACTCCACCCAGAAGGGTCCCTGTTGAGGGACTGATCCAGGGCTGGGTCTGAGCATGGAGTGACCTCCCAGGTGACTCCACCCAGAAGGGTCCCTGTTGAGGGACCCTGTTATGGGAGACTCTTCCTGTACCCAATGTCTAGGGCATCGTCCTGGCCATCAGACTGTCCCCCTTGGGGCAACATCTGAGTGTGACACCTTCAGGAAGTGACCCTACACGAGTGAAGTGAAACATTTTATTCTTCCTTCCTCATATGGCTCCATAGGCTCCACATGGACCTCACCCAAGGCAAGTAAACATCAGGCCACTTGAGTTCCTGAAATGCGTGTCCCCGGCATTGAAGATCTACCCCAGCGGCCACTGGGAGGGATACACCTGCACACGCGTGCATGTCCATGTAAATGTTCTGCTCATGCAATATGTGCGCTCTGGCCCACCTTGGTGTCTGTATGTGAACAGTGTGTGCGTGTGCCTGCTCATGATCACATGTGTGTATGGTGTGCTCACATGCACGTGTATAAGCACTTCGCTGTGGATGTGTTCATGTATGTGTGGTGTGTGCATACCCAACACACATTATGCCCACCCTCACGGGCATGTGTGCAGTGCTGTGGGTTCCATATGGGTGTGTGATGGGTGGGGGTTGGTACCCAGCCAGGTTCCCTCGCTGCAGAGAGTGTCTGCAGGTGCCCATTTTCTGGCCACCTACTCTCATCTAACACTCCCCAGGGGCTTTGGGGTCTGTCCCTTTCCCTGGAAAGTGTGGCTCTACTTGCCCTGGCCACAGAGGGGAAGCAAGGGGGCTGGTTTCCTCAGCCCCCCAGTAGGCAGCCTAAATCTAGGTCACCTGGTCTCTGAGCCCCACCTCTGCCTGAGAGCAGCTGGGGCGGAGGGACTAGCATGGCCAGTAGATGGACAGACATATGGACAGCCGGCTCCCCATGTGGCTGGGTCCTCCCGCCAAGTGGGCAGCTAAATCAACAGGCCCAGAAATCAGAGAGGGGCCCAGGGCCTGGCTGTGCACTAGTCTGTCTGTTTGTTTGTTTGTTCTGGAGTTGTGGGAACTTTCAGCCTGCAGGGGGCCCTGGTGCCCAGCAGGGGGGGCAGGCAGGGGTGCTATGACCCAGGTCTAGCTGACATCCTCATCCTGCCTGGCCATCCCTCTCACCATCTCCTCCCCACCCCCCCATCTGTCTTCCTGGGCACTGGGCCCAGGAGACAGCACCCACATGAGGGGGGTGCACGGGGCCCAGGGACAGCACCCACAGGGAGGGAGGTGGCAGACAGGAGACTTCCACCCAGCTGTGCATGGCTGTACGAACCCTGGTCCATCCCCTCCCAGCTCTGAGGGGACTGGTGTCACTGGGGTGTGTGCCTCCCTGTCCTGCCTTATCCCACGCCTGTCACTTCCTTTGGTGTCTGCCCCACTCAATGTCTTCGTTTTCCTCTTTGTTCATCCGACTGTTCTTAGTCCCCCAAGGGCCAGGCACTAGCACTCTGAGATGTCCCTGTCCCGGGACCAGGATGCAGGTGGCGCTGGGGTCCAGGAAGAGTCTGAGATGATGCCTTGGGCGAGGTGGGGAGCGGGGGGAGTCCAGCTCCTCCCTGGCCATCGCTCAGCTCACTCCCACCCCACCCTCTCCAAGCCGCCAGAGTGCACACACATGGGGCTGTTTCTAACTCCTGAATCTTTTCAAGAATTCCACCGGGCTTGTCTGCCCAGCCTCACTTGGGAATCTACTTGGAGCTGAGTCCCCCTCGTGTGGACCCCACTCGTGTGGACACCACCGTGCCCCTGGGTCTCTCTTCAGGGCTTTGCCTGCTCTCTGCCACACCCCACAGAGCTTGGGCCCTTCCCTTACCCAAGGTCTGTGTAAGGGCCCAACACCAAGGAGGACGCCTGGGGGGAAGGGGTGGCCTGGCAGGGACTACTGCTTCAGTAGGGGGACAGTTAGGGGCCAGCGGAGCCACCGCTCTCCCCAAGTGGGGGAGAGAGGATTGCCTCCTCCACCTCTGTGTCAGGGGAGGGTGTGTGAGCAGGACAACTGCTTCTGCCCCATGCCCCCAGCTGTGGCCCCAGTCCTGGCCACGCGGCAAGCTCCCCGGGCCTCCACTGCGGACAAAGCACCCACCGTGGAAGCGCGGGCCGTGCCTCAAAGGTGCGCTCTGGGCGCTGGAGGAAGCTTCCACTCCGATTCTGGCTTAGCCGCAGACCTGGCGCTAGCCGCCCGCTCCTTCCCCTCTCCCCCCACCCCCCCATGCGCAGAGCCCCAGGGGTCTTCTGAAGGCTCAGTGACTGGGGACGGAGGGGAGGGAGGTCTCAGCACAGCAGCCCGAGGATCGGGAGCACGGCGGTCCCTACCCGTCCAACACAGCGAGGGCAACCCAGAAAACCGCGTTCATCGCGGGCATCGCGGGCCAAGCACCATCGAATGGAGGGACAGCGGGGCCAGGCGTTCCTAATCGGAGAGGTGGGGACAGAGCCGGGAAGGGAGGACGAAGCTGCCGAGCCCGCTGCGGAGCCCGGCTCCAGCGAAGGCGGCTCCCTTCCTGTCCCCTGCCGCTGCCCCTGAGACTGGGGCTCCCAAAGGCCCATGGCTGCGGGCAGGGGAGGAGCCACTGACAGGGTACAAGCTGCTCTTGGCGCGGGGCCTCCCTGGGAGACCCCTGAGGCCGAGTCCAGGCAGGCGCTGGACGCAGTCCCCGGCTAATCAATCCTGAAACGAATTAATGGGGTCAAGTAAAGCCCAGCCCCCCTCTGTCTGCGCCGTGGGTGACGCAACCTGGTTCTACTCCGCTCGGTTCTCCGATTCCTAGGGGAGGGGGGTCCCAGGGCACCACGGACTCACATCCTGTGGGCTGCCTGCACAGACCCATCTGCGCTGCTTTCCCCTCAGATGGCCCGGCACCCGCTGGGGGCCGGGTGGTGTGCGCCTCGTCTGGAGGAGACTTCAGGGCAGGGCGCAGGGGGCTCTGTGCCTGCCAGAGATGCATGCGTAAGGGCGCGCAGGTCCCTCCACGGCTGGGAACAAAGAGGCCGGAGTGAATTCTGAGCGGTGAACGCGGCGCCGTGGACGTGCCCTTACAATGGACTGAGAGCGAGCAGAGGGGTCCCCGCCACAAGAATGTGAGGGTGCCCGACTTGGTGCGCTCTGAGGAGGCGGAGCTGGGCGGGCAAGACTCTCCAGGAGCCGCCTCCCGCGCGCTGGGGAGAAAACGTCCGAAATAGGGCTTGGAACAGGGCTCGCTTTAGTCGAAACTCGGAAGATGCTGGGGGAAGGCGATAGCGAGTGAGCCGAGGCGCAAGGCTCCCCGCGCAGTGCCGGGGCCCCACGTGGGACCCTGCGCCGG